AGTACAAGAAATTCTATCATGCTCTACAAACGAGAAGTGGAAGATTGCAATAGAAGAAGGTATAGAGTCTATGAAATCAAATCTGGGACTTGGTTGAGTTTTTAACATGTAAGAGAGCTATGAGGAACAAATGGTTCTCAAAATGGTTATACTCAATAGGAGGGTATATAATGAAGAGACATTTTCACCAATAGTGAGATTTGCTTCAATTCATCTACTCTTAGTCATAGTGGTATGTTTAAATTTAGAATTACATCAAATGGACGAGAAGACTGCTTTTCTCAATGGAAAACTGGATGAAAAGATCTATATGTAATAATAGATTTCATTAAAATAGGCTAAGAGAATAAAAGTTTGTGAATTGAAGAGAACAATCTATATCCTAAGACGGTCTTTTAAGCAGCGATACTTGAGATTTGACAAAGTGGTTATCTCATACAACTTTGTCATGATGGACTAAAATCACTATATCTATTTGAAAAAGGTCCAATAAAAAATTTATTATTTTATCTCTCTATGTAAATAATATCTTACTCGTTAGAAATGATAAGAAGTATATTAAAGCCACTAAGAAATTATCGTCGTCAAATTTTGAAATGAATGATACGGGTAAACGGATTACATATTAAGTGTTAAAATCCATAGAGATCGTTTGCAGAGGCTTTTTGCTTTGTTACAATAGCCATGTATAAAAAAAAAATTTGAACATTACAAAATGCAGAATTGCAACCCCATTGACACTCATGTGAGATTGGGAGATTGATGTACGTTATGATGTATATTCGCCCTGGCATTTGTTATGCCGTAGGTCTGGTCAGCATGTATCATTCTGATTCCAAAAGAGAGCAATAGGAAGTGTTAAGAGGATATTGAGATAGATGAAGGGCACTACTAATTATTGTCTGTGCTATCAAGAGAATGATCTGTGCTTTAAAAGATACACAAATGATAATTAGGATGGAGACCTAAATGAGCATAAATTAATTTCAAGACTTTTGACTATTTTTCAGAATTTTATTTCAATATTGCTATTTTAGCATGTTGTCAATAACTATGGATAATTCAATTGGATAGGACATGTTTAGGAAAGCAGCTGACTTGAACTTAAGGGATTCAAGTAAGAAATGAAGACTGTTTTATCTAACACCTCAACTGTATTCACCAGCCGGACAATTATGTTAAGTTTTTGAGTTTTGCGACACGAATGTGAATAAAATATAAATGAGAAAATTGAGTATATTCATTGATTATTGAGCCGTCAAAAATACTCGGACTAATGTTACAAAATATGTCTAGGGTATAGCGAGAATTATATTTCCTCTCGCAAGATTTCTATATATCCATAACATGTGTATAGTATTGCATGCTGTTAAATTAATTCGATAGTCGCATGATCCATTTACATGTATGAACTTGAAGATGTTGATATATATATATTAGAATCATGTCAAATCCATCAAGTACGAGTGGGAGGTGTTGAAAAAAAAATAGACCGTCCATGTGGATTGATCCAAGCCAGTTTTCATGGGATGATTTTTGGAGGCGAGAGTTGAATTTTGAGTTTGAAATTAACTCCCTACCACCTTAAACTTTTATATAACCCCCACTATACTAAAAACCATATGAAATCATGCAATTTTGGGTAGAAAACTTGTACAAAATACATAAAAGTGCCGTGGCTTAATTTTGGCAAGAATAACATCTCAAAATTTGTTTTAGATTGTTAAGATTAAACTCCTTCATTCGTAATTGAATTTCTGACCAAAAAAGGGGCACAAGATGATGTGGAAAGCAAGTAATTCAACCTCGTTTTGAGATTTCAAGTAAGTCCTACAACTTGGAATTCGGTTAAAAGCATGCTAGTACGATTTACATACACCATATCAAATTTGTACTTATTGAACGACAATTGATTTTGTTTTTCAATAATGCTTTAAATTAATTACATCATGGGTTATGGTAAATTCAAAATTATTATAAAGCTAAAATCTGATAATGTAAAATAAAATGGACCAAATGAGTCTGAATGGTTTAATAGAATTTTCTCAATATTTGGAGCAATAAAAACAAAAGGAAAATGTTATATGTACCACACTTGTTTCCATCACACTCAAAAAATGTGGGGCCCATGATTATTCTAATCATGGACCCCACCCCCTAATGTGAGGGAGCTATCATAATTGCTATCAAAGTAATTATACTTGTAGCATGTTTGAAAATAAAAACCATGTCTCGTGAATTGAAAATCCTTGGACAACTAGATAACTGACTTGTTTATTATTTGGAGGTTTGAATATTTATGCAGGTGTAGGCTAGGCATGTAATTCAGCTAGTATTTTGAATAAGGATTATTCTCCTTGTATATTGGGAGGGTGAATGCACACCCTTTGAATAATGAGTTCTGTTTGTTGTACAAAATACTCACAATCAATAGGGGCCTTTGAATAATGAGTTCTGCTTGTTGTACAAAATACTCACAATCAATAGGGGGTGGGGTGGGAGAATTTTTTTTTTTTTTTTTAATAATCACTTTCGCCCAACCCAATGCAAGGACATGTGAGTGCCCTATACCGACCCTTTGAACATAGAGCTTGTACATGAGGCAAAATTCTTGAATAGTACTAGTTACTAGTTATTTATGTGACGGCATTTGACAACGGTTACTTTAGTCCAGTGTTGTACTTTCTTCTTTTTTTGATCGTTGAATGAATTAGTCAACTTTCTTCCATTTCATTAGCAAATTAAATCATATTTCTGGAAGACACTTTTCATTCTTCAACAATTTCCAAACGTAAAGCATTTAATGATTTATCTAAGTTATCACCTTTTAACAGGACGAAATTGTCCATAGATCACATAAGAGACTTTACTATTGTTTTAATTATATAATCTTAAAGAAACAACAACTTGCTCTATATTGTTTGTGACAATTTGATTTATTCAATTATAAAGCATATTAACTTTACCAAATGGGGTTAAATTAAACCTTACCTACCTAATGTGTGGCACCAAACGCATACATTGTATTTTGTGTCGACTTGAGAATGCCCTAAAACTTTCATATACAAAAGAAAAAAGTAAAAATAAAAAAATTACTTGCTAAAATGAATCTTTAAAATGACCTAAATCTCGATTTCAATAGAACCTGAAAACTAAAACAAGTACCAAAATCCATACATCTGATAAACACTCAATTGTATTTCTCGTAATCGACATTTTTGGGTAGTTAATAAAAAAAAATCAATTATGTAATGTTCAAGAACAGTTATTTCAAGAGCTTGTCCAACAATTCCATTTAAAATAACAACCAATCTACATGTACAGCGGAAAATTTCATAGAAGTTTTAGAGATAACACATAACACGGGCATTATTTTTTGTGCATTGCATACGGCTCTAAAATAAAATTGACCCTTACCTTCCATTGAAGAAAGAGAAAAATAGAATTTATCAGACCCAGATGGATAAATGATCAAATTGCCACCCTTCCTTTCAGAGGAGTTAAAAAAATACTATGATGGCTCCGTTGCTTTCTATTTTAAACTGGGTGGATATGTAAAAGATATTCTTTTCTTTCCAACACTTTGACATGTGTCAAAAAAATATTGTGACATTTCATTTCTGACAGCATTTTCAAATCGATTATTTTTTGTGTATCGAAATGGTCTATTCCAACGGTTAGAATTGTCGAAATTACTATGAGAAAATATGCTAAAGTAGTCAAAATGAATGAACACATTTGGGTTTGTGCCCCAATATCTGCTGTAAAAGGACCAAGCCATAACAAATGGGAAGTTATTCAAATTCCCAGTGAAGACCAAGCAAGATTTCATTGACTCTGCCTTCTTTTTATTTATATTTTCTTAATTCGTTATTGTAAGTGGTTTATATTTGCAATAAAATATTCACATGGGCCTACCCCCATGTGAGAGCCCTGTGAATTTTTTTCTATACACAAGGAATAATACTTAAAATAAACAATCACAATATGATCACCCAAAAAGAGGGTAAAACATAAAGGAGAATTGAACCTATTTTTGACAAAATACAAAATCCAAATTTATTTAGATCCACAAGAACGTAACGAGAAAGACATTATTGGTTTGTTTTATAAGGTGGATCATAAATCGACAATATTAAGAACAAAGCCGTTTAATGTAATGCCCAATCACGTCCAATAAAGTGTACGAAACAAGCACAATCTAACATGACCAAACAACACTTTGCAGAGAACAAACTATAAGAATAAGCCCTGTATACATTCTAAATTTGCTGTTGAGTAAGAAAAATTCCTACAATATGTGCATAAAAGTACATTTTGGATCTGATTTCCGTGAATCCGGCCATTCTGTGGCATTTCGACCCAAGACAAGTATGAAATACTTTCCAGACCATCTCTTTCTTGGTGCAGGAAACAAAAGGAGTAGCTATTGAAGATCTTAATATTTCAGGCAAGCAGTAAAAATGAGATCACCTTTACAGTTCCTTTGTCGAGCTTGCATGTAGACGTTGTAATTGTAATAACTGGATCCTCAGGCTACAATGCATCACCTGGTACGATGACTCGTGTTAGTGCTGTGCAGAATTTTTCTACAGAAACCAATCAGCTTCAGCATGTTTAGATATGCTTAAACACTAGTCAAAGATATTTTTAAGTAACTTCATTATTCCATATTTAATTATATGAGTTACTCTTTTCTTAAGTGAAAAAGTTACCTAATTTGAAATACCTCTTACTTTATCGAACGACTGAGTGACTTATTTATAATTTTAATAAAATTAAAAAATTATTTACATACAAACTTTCTTATTTACTTATAAACTTAAAACTAAACATTTGAAGCTAAGGCAATCATGCTCGAAGTCTATAATTCTTTGCACTTTAAGCTTACCTGCAAGGGTAAGAATCTTGTTGACAACCAATCTTTGCATTCATCAAGTAAACTGTTCTCTCTTGCACTTAGGTTGGCAAGTTCACAAACCAAAAAGTTCATCTGCTCAACCTATGGGAGCAAATAATTCAATAGAATTGAAATAATAAGGTTAAATGGATCGTAAAGCAAAAATTCTGGTTCCATTTCCTCAAAAAAGAAAAAATGCAAGTCCAACAGGGTAAGAGATCTAATTTCAAGTAAACACCATCCGAAATATGTATTCCAATTAATGCACTGTTTTCCCTTAGATCAGAATCACATTATAGGTTATCACTGACCCTGAATCCACAAGTGGACACTCCAATCCAGTGTAACTGGAGATATAGATTTGTATTTGCAGACATTTTTCAAATGCAACAACAAATAGTTTTGAGGTCCAAACTTTCCATGAGATTTGCATTGGCATAAAACCACATATTGTTATCAGAAAATTTATTTCTTTTTGGTGAAGTGGAGGAATGAAATGCTAAGCATTGTCTTCATAAAGTCTAAGTCCCACATTATCAATAAAACAAAAAAGAGAAAACCTAAACCTACAAGCAAAGATATATATTGCTTCACTTTATATAGTTTTCGCTTTAATCAAATGAAGGAAAGAGCTACACGGAGGGAAAGGGGGACAGAAACTTTATTGCAACAGTTCATTAAGTTTAGATCACATTGCTTGTTGTGCATAACCAAGTAGTATTAACATTTAAAAAATAAAAAAATAAAAAAATCATCTTTTATGATGAGTAGAGGAAAGGCCACTGCAAAACTGAAATAGATATAGATGCAGTACACATAATTTTTTTTTATTGTTGTAACACAGAAATAACATTGATATCAGAAATTGTCTTCCTATGATGAGCAGAATAACAGCCCACATCCACAAGAATACAAGATACTGATTGTTAGAGTTGTAAGGATCCCATTGTTTAAAGTTTAAAGAATATTACTTCTCAATTTCAAATTAAATGTCTAGATGTAACTTGGAACATTATCAAAGAGTGAATTTTTGGAGAATGTGTAATTAAAAAGTAAGGAAAAGTTATAGGTTTACGTGCAGAGTATCTTATTGTGTGAATGTATGGTTGAAAACGAGTATGTAGAATAAAGAGTTTTGAAATAATGGTTCTCAAACAGGGGCTAATGTCATGCTTGAGATCTATACTTGATCAATTTTGAGAAGAAATCCAAGGTAGCACTTGGCATTTGGCAAGCTTGAAACCAGTTTTATGAGTACACATGCAAACCAATTTACTTTAACCAAGTCTGGCAATTGTGACGAGTGAAGAGAACTGGTTCAACCTTGTTCAAATTTTGGCCTGGAGGAATTCTTGTAGGTTCAAAACAGACCATAAATATGCCAGATGACAACAGAAAAGACTGAATTGACATTTTTGTTCATGCAGCTTAACAGAGGAATCACCTTTGTTAACAAAGAGCATATTGAAGATGCCATTGTTTGCATCACATCAACAGCTGAAGAAATGGCCTCTTCCACATTCTGCAAATTAGCCTGCAGTTACAGAAACCCAGAAAAGTAAACAGAAAGCTCCTTTTTTAAGTCCTGCACATGCTAAGTTGGCCAAGAGGCAACAACTGAAATGTCGTAGTTGTTAGGAAATAGCACCAGCATACCCTTGCACCAGCAACAACAGGAAGGCGGATAATGCTGGCTTCTAATGCCTCTTTAGCACCACATATGGCATTGCTGTGATCTACGTCGATCAAGTCCCATTTTTCTAAATACGGTTCCTGCATTCAACAAATACAACCTTGTACTCAATAAATGTTTACGTTATTACATGTATCTTGAATCTATTGCTTAAATTGTAAAGTTGTTCTAGACCTGTTGAGAAATATAAACTTACAGGCAGTCGATTATAGATTGTCAACAAAGATTACTAGACACAATTGTCGGGTGGGGATGGGATGTCGATGCAATCTTGATTCAAACACAACCACATGAAGAGACAGAGACCTTTAACAGACTATGAAGGAACTGAAAGACAATATAATACTTGTGTGGTCAAATAGATGCATCAACAGAAACATCCCATTTGAATTTAATTTGAATGATACCTCGCGTTATAGTAAGTAATCCGCATATATGCACGCACAATAGATCAAATCAGACCTTGAAAATTTGTATAGAGAAAGTGACATGCAGCAGACATATAAAAGTAGAATAGAGGAACATTTGCGAAATAATTTTCCAATTGAGTTCAACTAGATTGAATCTGAAAAATATATAAATTACTGAAATTAAGCTCTGGAGTTTTAGAAAAGAGTCGTTCGAGAAAAACTGTCTCACCTGTCCCTTTAGGATGGAATATAGCATCAGATTATGTCTCAATAATTGTAATTCAATCCTCTTGAACTTGACAGAACGCCGCATTTTGGTAGTAGATATCCATGCATTATATAGACTTCTCTGGTGTAATGAGAACATAAGAATTAAAATTCTTTTGCACAGAATACTACATCAAAAATCCAAATCAGTAAAACCAATCAAAAAGAACAAGGTAACATCTCAGAGAAATGAATACCATTTCTCAGAAAGATATAAGGAGGCGATAGCGTTGGCAGACAGCAAGAGTGAGGGCATGTGCATTATCAATCATCAAGTGAAAAGGAAAACTTGTCTGTATAAATAAATGCAAGTATTATCATCAGATCATAATCTCCATACAGAGAAGACCTAATTTGACTTGAAAGACATGTTCGATCAACTGGAAACAGAGCTCTCTAGTTATGTCTCTTGTTCCAAAACAAATCTCCGTGTAAAATATACCCAGCCACAGACCCTTGAACAGCCTAAATTTGGTTTTTATAAGATCCATCTCAACCTGACTCTCATCCATCAGCACAATAAAAAATTATTTAACTCATTCCCTGATTTAATGAATTTGCAAAATTCCCCATATATCATCTCTCACTTCCTATGTGTCGAGTCAAATATCAGAAGCATTTCCAAGATGCTCCCTACTTTAGAAAGTTAATGTTTAAAAATAAGTTTCAATAGACACTATTTTAACATTTTAAAATAGAAAGAGGGTGTGACTTTTCAAATTTGGAGAGCGATACCCACTCTCTATTCTTAGCCACTATTTGACAACCATTAAAACAGAACTCTTTTTTTTTTTTTTTTTTCCTTCCCTCAATTTCATTTTCAACAACACATTCTCACAATAAAATATTCTCCACGTAAACTCAAAACAATTTCCTACTTTTTAACCACATATTTTCCAAAAATTCAATATTCGAAAATTCTTTTTTCTTAAAAAGCTCATTATAATTGTTGTCAAATAGGGGCTTAATTTACAATGATTTTATTTAATGCGACACTCAATACTCTATTTCTTAAATTACTCAAATGAGATTTGTATTGATTGACCATTGGCATATAAAATATAAGGAGAAATCAATAGATATTTCTTGAGAAAATAAAAATTAAGAGTCAAAATAGAGAACATTTACAATAAGGAAAAATCAATAAACATTTTCCTAATCAGAAAAATTCTCTCTAAATTAAAAAATGTTTTTTATAAATAAAGAACCTATAGGAGATGCTCTAATATAAACCTTCATTGATCAACATGAATTCCATTACATTTCTATGCACAAAGAAAATATACATTGATGTGAACCACAAGGAACAACTACGATGAACAATAAGTCACTATTTCATAGGGATTAAAATCTAGTAGGGATTAAAATCAAGATTTGAATCAATGTTAAAGTCAACAATTAATTTTAGTCACATATTTTATGAGATTCACAACTTTTTAATCATACATTTCACCAACTTTTATCAAACTCAACTAAAAATCTGATTTTAATCTTCATCAAACAGTGCTAAAATTGCTAAGTTACTGTATCAAGGCTTGACTTTTTCAAAATGTTTTGAAGAAAACTACTAAATATTAAAAGAGAAGGCTATATGTACGTCTTTCATGATAACTTGGTTGACATTCCCCCTATGTAGAGGAAATTTGTACAGTAATATGATGAATGGGTTTTAAATCAAGAGTGTAAAAGTTGCCATGGGGAAGAATGTAAAGATAGGTGTAAGGGAGAGTGTAAATATAGCAAGGTATTAAAAACAAAATCCTCTTTGGACTGTGTTGTATTAGTGTGTGTACATGGGGAATGGGGAGGAGATTCACAGTAACAACCAATAAAATGTAATCAAACTACATAAGCTCTTGGGCTCTGGATTGAAGTGTTTTGGTTATTATGAGAGTGTTGAGTTCTGGAGGGATGGTGATGAGGACATCGGACGACATTTACTTATTTTATTTAAGTTTTATTTATTTTCTTGGACTATTATTTAAATTTGGACTTGTATGGGCTCGGGCCCAAGCTCGTTAGGGTTGTTTTACTATTTAAACCTATTTTGCATTGTAATTTTCAGCTGATGATGGATGAATAATTATTTTGGTGGCTTATGGTGCATCCCTCCCCTTCTTCTATTGAATTCTTCTTCTATCCCCTCCCATAATTCCCCATTCTTTCTGAATCTTTCTTCTATTTTTATTTATCATCCTTTTGGTGCTGCATCAAATTTGATATCAGAGCCTAAACTTGGGTAATCTTTCATCTCCAATCCAAAAAATCTCTTTCTATTTCGTTCCTAAGAACTTGTGGAACAACACAAACAAATAAACTTTTAGCATGAGCAGCCAAATTATTATTTTTCCAGCTTCTTCATAGTTGTTCCAAAAAAAAAAAAAAACTGTTCACGTTACTGTTCACAAACGGAAATTTCAGTTTAGGTTTTTTTCTGCAATTTTAGTTCACATCCCAACCCCAAAAAAAAAATCGTGTTACTGTTCACAGGTACTATTCACACCCGAAAATTCTTTTTTTTTTATTATCAGCTTCAAAAAAAAATTCTCATTTTTTCCCTCCTGCTGCTGCTGCTCATAAATAAAAAAAAAAAAAAATTGTGGTGTTGTTCCACAAATCCCAAACCCTAGCATTCAAGCCTACTTAGCCCTTCAACCCATATATTCCATCTCTATAACTTACTCCATTCATTTTTTTTTATCAAAACACTTGGGCCATAAGCTAGTGGCCCAAATTACTCCCAAAGCCCACTAAACGCACATCCCATCTCTCATCATCTATTTAGCTAATCCACTTGCTTTTCAGCCCAATAAACACTAAATCCAACCCACTTATCACATATTATCACAATCGGCCCAACACCATTCAACCCATGATCAGTCCCAAATATTCAACCAAACCCGATTATAACCAATCTATTAAAATCAAATACCCCACAGTTTCACCCGATTTCTCTCTCATAACCACTCTCTTGCCGCTGCCGCCTCTAATCACCATCACGCCACCACTTCATTATCTATTGTACCCAGGCATCCAGAGCACTACCACTTCATCGCCATAGGCCACCACCACCTACCCAAGATCATACACTTCCACCACAATTACCACACTCATATATTTTCTCGTCCATCTCAACAATCTAAAAGCCACAATCACTACACACAGTTTTACGTCCACACCAGAACCAGCACAAGTTACAGTCTACAGGGGCTAAAACCATTGGATACGAAGGGAAGAACAGAAGCATAGTTGGGGCTTATAAGTCGACAATTCAGATCAAGCGGCATACAAATAATCAAAACTAAACAACAGAGAGTCCTTGATCTCTATTTAGTATTGGTTTATACTATTGCTTCATTTTTAAAATTGCATCAATTAAAATCTTGTGCTGTTGTTATTGTGATAATTTTAGCCTTAAACCTCACTTGATCAAAACCATTAATAGAATTGACACCAGTGACCGAATTGACTTCCATTGTTCCCCACTTAAATTGATTGGAGAATTTGACTAGTGTTGACCCTTGCTTTGCCATTTTACATGTACTAGCAGTATTAGCTTGTTTTGGATTTAATTAATCCCAATATTTAAAATTAAATTAAAAAAAATGGTACAAGTTATTTTCCATTGCTTGCATGTATTGTTCACTGATCTCATCATAGTACGTCATTTAGCTGGTATTACATTGCATGTAGTTGCATAGTGGTTGTCTTGTCATCTCTATTTCCAATACATTGACCATGGATCCATCCCAATTTGATGCACTCACTAGACAATTAGCACAACTTGCCATTAGCCTATCGACTGTCCAATCAAATATAACTGCTACTCGTGAGGAGAGAAAGAACCTAGCTGTAAGTTGAGCAATTTTAAGCGAACCCCTCGTCTAACTGACACTAATTTTGAAGCGTCTCATAATAGACAATATCATCGTGGACAAAGTGATCAAAAATATTTTCGACGCGATCGTAGGAATAGGGATCAGATTCGTAAGCGAGAACGAGATAATTTTGAAATTCTTACTCAATGGAATGCCCTTAAACAAGGAAATCAATTAGTGACTGAGTATATCGCGCAATTTGAGGAATTTCGAACCAAATGTCATTTAATTGAGGATGAAAGCATGACTTTGAGTAGGTTTAGCCAAGGTCTGAGAGATGATCTTAAGCGCGAGCTTTTCCTTCGAGGTGTCACAACTCTTGATCACGCTTATTCTTTAGCTCGAGATTATGAGTTGATTATTAGTACTCCATATGAAAAGCGTGGTCATCGTCGTTCACCCATCTCATTAGCGCTGCCTCATCATAAGTCTATCATAAAACCTTCTCCGTCTAATGTTCCTCCTATTTGGAAAAATAATTGTAAAGATCGTGATAGTCTAAGATCTTCTTCTTCATGTAGAAAGCGTAATGGCAATCATCTTTCGATTTCATTGGCTCCACTTCCTCCTGTTAAGTCCCTTCTAGGACCTCCCCCGTCTAATGTGGCTCCACTTCTTCTTGTTAAGTCCCTTCTAGGACCTATCCCGTCTAATGTTCCTCCAATTTTGGAAAATAAGGGTATAATTTGTGAAACTCCAAAGACTTCTCACTTGCTATGCATCAGCTGTAAGGATTTTGGCTACATCTCTTCCAAATGTCCTAACCGAGCCTTAGTCATAGAAGAACGAAAGAATGCAATAGAAGAGTAGTTAGAAGATCTAGCATATGGCCCTAAACTTGAAGATTTTGATGACTATGGTGAGGACACTTCCTTAAGTGGAATCCCGACCCTTCTCGAGACTTTAGAAACTATACCCCTTGTTTTCGACAACTCTCGATCACATGTTATATGTCATACCCTTACCCAACTCAAAGAGTTTGATGATTTCACTAGTCACCCTTGGAGAATCCAGTCGCTTGTTCTTAGCACTAAATCGAAATTCTCCACTACTGAACAACCTCAAACTGATGGTCAAATCGAAATTGCTAATCGAAGTCTTGGCAATTTATTACAGTCTCTAGTACAGAAAAATCTTGAGAATTGGGACTCGATCCCCCCAACTATTCACATCGCATATAACAATTCTATGAATCGGTCTCTAGGTCTAAATCCATTTAAAATTGTTCATAGTTATAAGTCTAGGCGACCGTTAGAACTTATTCCCATGTCCCCGCATGCTAGTGTGTTGTTGTCAGCTAAAGCATTTGTATATCATCTTCATGACTTGCATATTGAGATCAATAAACAACATGACGCAAGTAATGCATTACATAAATTTCAAGCTGATTCGCATAAACAATATTTTGAACTTAATATTGGGGATTATGTCATATTGCAAGCTTGTAGTGCTGGTCCTTTAAAAATTTTAAAGCATGTTGGTTCAAATGTACATGTCATTGCCCTTTCATCACATTTTAGCCACCACTCTGCTTTAAATATTGAGGACTTCATTACTTACAAATACCGTATTACTTCCTTTGATGATCCATTTCTACCTAAATTTGTGGACCCTCAATTTGACTATATTGATATTTCTACTTTAATACCATTTATCACAGCACACAAAGATAAAATTGATGTTATTTTAGATGAACGTGTTGTATTGACCAATGATGGCAAAATTCAGTACTTCCTTGTTTGCTGGGTAAATCGACGTACTTCTTATGCTTCTCATTATGTACAATCATGTGAAAATGTTGAAGATGAGGTGTATGGGTATTGGTTAATTGAAGTCCAGTATCAGTACTTGGTTAGAAGGAAAGATCGGCCCCCTTGGTCAAATCATATTCTTGGGAATAAGCTACAGTTTTCAGTACTATCAATTATGGAATTTCGTTACTTGGTTCGTCAGAAAGATCGTCCCCCGTGGCTTGACTTGAAGCATTTGGAGTATCAGATTAACTGCAGCCTATACTATCTATCAACTCGACAGGGTCGAGTTTTTCTCCCACCCCGGGAGAGTTGATGAGGATATCGGACGACGTTTACTTATTTTATTTAAGCTTTATTTATTTTCTTGGACTATTATTTAAATTTGGACTTGTATGGGCTCGAACCCAAGCTCGTTAGGGTTGCTTTGCTATTTAAACCTATTTTGCATTGTAATTTTCAGTTGATGATGGATGAATAATTATTTTGGTGGCTTATGGTGCATCCCTCCCCTTCTTCTATTGAATTCTTCTTCTATCCCCTCCCCTTAATTCCCCATTCTTTCTGAATCTTTCTTCTATTTCTATTTATCATCCTTTTGGTGCTGCATAAGATGGTTTCTATTTGGGGAAAGGAACTCGAAACCAAGGATGAAAGAGTAATAAAAGCAGTTAAAAGATATATGTATCCCAATGTATACCCTACCCTCTTATGTACATTTTGAATGTATGACCTGTACTATATTCATTTTTGAGTTTTATAAGAGAAGGAATCGAACACAATGAAGATTCCATTTGCATAACATCAAATAAAATATGTAGGACTAGAAGATACTAACTCTATATCTGAGGTTTAAAATGAAGTAAACAGAACCATCCGCCCATTTAGGTGGAAGCCTCAGACACATTTTTGTTGTTAATTCTCGTGAGTTAGACCCGTTATGGTCGCACTTATCTAGAAGCGACAATTATGTAAGTAGGCCTTATTGGTAAGTCAGAAACAAGTCTACTAAAAAACCTTTAGCCACCTTTATGTAAAGTTCAATGATCATTTTCTCTTGGTATTTCCAATCTCATAAATCTAACCCCGCATGATAGGGAGCCACGGGAAAGTAAAAACACTAAGTTGATTATCTTCAATTTCATTAAAAGGCAAAAACAACTGGTGGAAATTAATACCTCTGCCATCTCATTCTGTACTAGCAACGATTTCTCAGCTCTTGCATTGACAAATCGCCACTGCAGCCGCCGGTTATACAGTAGCCTCAGGTCATGTGCATCAACAATCCGGCTCTCCCCCAACTTTCCTCTCCTCATATCAGTAACAAAGCTCATCATTGACAACATACTGCTTGAATTATCATCAGTCAGCACGTTCCCCGCTCCATTTCTTATTCTCAACGGACTATCAATCCTCCTCAATGGAGTAGAAGTCATCAAAGACAACTTACTCGGTGATGCTGGCTTCGTGCCTCCTTGAAGTGAAAATCCCCTAGGAAATGATACAGGATTCTCAATCAAAACTTTGTTTGCACCGTTTAGTTTTGATGGACCTGGTGTTCTATTCAATCCACTAATTTTTGACCTGGGTGAATAGGAGTCTGGTACTCTATGTATCCTATTCGACTCTTGCCAAACTCTCGCAGGAACAACAACTCCCCGTTGCACTCCTCTCAATTGAGTCGTACTTCCATTCTCAATACTCTCCAGTGAAACGGTCTCAGTATCTGTATTCATCGGAATAGCTAGATTTGATCCAATTTCCATTTTGTTTGTCATTCTAACCTCAGAATTATAAGTCTCGGGATTCAATGTAACACCGAACTTGTTTCTACCATTTTCATCAATCATAGATTTCCTCAATTCCTTGATTGCAGCCCCAGATTCATTCAATTTAGTTTTCTCGGCGCCATAATCTAAACTTTGAGTAAAGAAACTCGAATTGTCTCTCCGCAATCTCCCCGGCCAGCGGTGCTGCTGCTGATCACTTGGCATCGAATTCTCCCTCTCCCGCTGCTCCTTCGCTGGCGACGCTGGCGTCAACTTCCTCCTTTCCGGCGTACCTTTCCTCAAACCACCACCCGGAGTCCCCACACCTCCCGCAGTCTTCGCCTTACTCACCGGTATCGAAATCGATTCTCCCTGGAACGCCACAGACAAACTCCTCATCGACGTCACCAGCATCCTCTCCGCATTTGACGGCGTTGCCTCCACAGCCACCGACCGCCTCCTACCCACAGACACCGCCCTCTCTGTATTCCGCGGCGTCGTCACCCCCTCTCTACTAACCACCGGCGATTGGTACCTTTTCGACGGAATCGTCGGCAATGATCCGGTAGTATTTGAAGTAGACGTCGTGCTCCTGTTAGAACTTGACGACGAAGAATTGGAAGAAGACGAAATTTGTACAGACAAGTAGCGAGAAGTGACTTCCCGTGCTTTTGGCCGGCGCAAAGTTCCATTTCCGGGATCTGAAGGCAGCAATGGCATCCGCTTTGGGTTTGGTGAAGGTAGCTTCGAGTTTGACGTTACAGTAGCTACCATTTCACATCATCAAACGAATTTCAAGCTTGTTAACCCTAAATTGTTCCCTTAATTAAGATCAATTTCATGTAAGAAATATGGAAAATGTAGAAAGAGAGGGTAGTGGAATGAATGCAGTTGTGTTATGCAGGTAATGTATATGTACGTAGAGAATAGTGGGGTTTAATGAGAGGTTTTAGAGAGAAGAAGAGAGCGGAAAATAAGACCGTTACAACAACTGGAAGCCGGTGAAATATGTGGTGGGTAAAATATTTTGTGATCAATTTAATTACAAAAATTAAATAATATTACATATCTAAAGTAGTGTTTGATTGGATCAATTCCATGAAAATTCAATTTAGTTACAAAAATTAAATAATATTACCAAATAATTTCTCGACATGAACACAATGATTGTTATCAAAGATAAGTAATTTTTTCATTTTTTATACAAATTTGGTAGCACGTGATCAAATAGATATTAGATTTTGACAAACAAGTTATTTTTTTTTGTAATTAGTTAAATATGTTGCTATTAGTTGAAAAATTAATTTTTCAATTTTCAAAGTGAACAACTTTTTTCACAACTACTGCTTTTAAACATTGTAAAATTTGGATAGTTGGCATTTCAAATAAAAGAAAAATAACGCTTAAATGTTAATATATATAAGTTAAATTTGAAATAAATAATGGTATGTTTGGATTCGATTGAACACTCATATATATACACAAGATTTGGAAGAAATGATAGGATATTCGGGATGGAATTGGACATATATACGCACAAATTTTTAAGTTTGGAAATACTTTTCATAATTCATGAAATATAAAACACCATATTTTTTGTTTGAGCCACATTATTTTCAAAAAAATAAATTTTTCAACAGTGATTTGATATTATTTCAACCACACATTTTTTAATAAAATAATATTACACACAAATCTAAAAAAATTTCTTATTTTTTAACTATACATTTTTCATTGATTTGACATGAATAATGCATTTTTTCCTATAACGTGGCTCAAACATGGACTTATTTTTCGAAAATATGAATTGAACCAAACAATCGAAATATTTGGTGGAGGTGAAAGTACATATTTATTATTAAAATAAAATTATTATGACCTTTATTAGAGTAAATGGAAACGTGTGAGTGGAGTGGGATCTATGTACGCGTGCGGGGACGAGGGGAGGAATGTACTCACGTGGTTTACAGGTCACGTGTAAAAAGCAAGGGGCAGTAGGGAATGTGTACTCAAACGAACTTTTGGGTTTTGATTATGAAAAATGTTTCTACAAATTGCAAGGGAGAAATATTACAATTTTGAACTTTATTATTATTCTTACTTTTTAATATATGTGTGTGTGTGATCTTCTAAATATCGGTGTTTAACTTATATTAAGTAGCGATGATGTAACATACAAATTAATTGGTGAATAATTAAATTAATAGATTATATGATCTTTTAATTGTTTCGGATGACTTAAAAAGTCGAGAAGTTCTCTTTCACTTTGATGACAAAATAGAGATAATCCAATTTCATGAAACTAAACATGTGTTGTCGTAATTTGTAAGTCAAAACCTTGTTAAGATTCAGATCATCTTGTTTTCCGGACGGGGGATGTCATGCACCTCAAGCTGCATATCTCCATGGGATCATTTGGAGCCTTTGAATGTCCTCGGAGCTTGAGCGCTTAACAAGCCACCCTCAGCCTAGACAACTTTGGTCGAGTCTTGCCCCTCGAGGCATAGTTCAGTGGTGCAAAAGATAGAAGTGAGGTTATCTCACGCTTTGTTGACAGCCGCAGTGTGGGGGTTCGATTCTCGAGATATGGAATTGGACTCTTTGTAAGCGTAGTGTACAGGCAGCTCTTGTTTCCTGGCCTGTTGGGGCATATCCCGCAATTTACCTTCGAGCTTGAGCGCTTAACAAGCCACCCTCAGCCTAGACAACTTTGGTCGAGTCTTGCCCCTCGAGGCATAGTTCAGTGGTGCAAAGGATAGAAGTGAGGTTATCTCACGCTTTGTTGACAGCCGCAGTGTGGGGGTTCGATTCTCGAGACATGGAATTGGACTCTTTGTAAGCGTAGTGTACAGGCAGCTCTTGTTTCCTGGCCTGTTGGGGCATATCCCGCAATTTTACCTTCCTCACAAAACTTTAGAGGCAGGACGGTGGGAGCCCTCAAGGTTGGGGTTCAACCCTTTTTTTTTTTTTTTTTTTTAATTTGGTCGAGTCTTGAAAATAAAAGGTGCTCGCCCTCTCCTAGCCCCATCAAACCTTAAAACAAAACAAAAATGTAGTTTATTTTGTTAGAGTGCGACCACTAGTATATTATAAAATAATATTTGAGTTGAGGATTGTCGATTTCAAAAGGTTTGGTAAATATTTTAAGGTTTTAAATGTTAAAGTTACTTCTCTCCAAATTATGAGTATATATCTAATTAAGGTAGATATTAATTACATCGCGAATTGTGGTAAATTCAAAATTATCATAGAGCTAAAATTTGAATTGTTAATAGAATTTATTTATCATTATTTGGAGGAATAAAAATAAGAAGCCATATCCCGTGAATTCCAGATATTCTGACATGTGTTTATGACCAGAAGGTTGGAATATTTACGTAGGTGGCCCTATTTGATATAACAAATTTTGGATAAATATATATGTATCGAAAATGAGTTATCAAATTGGTACCCTACTTTCACATGCGCACGGGCCCTACGTGCATTTAAAAATTCAGACTTGTGGAATCTGTCCTCCTATTGTGAATGTAGGTAAAAGATTCGTACACAAAAAAAAAAATTTGGAAAAACATACCCAAAGATGATCGTCACAAATTCTATGATTTTCTTTTTTATAATTGAAATGAGGACTACGCGATGTTTTTTCCCACGGAAAGACAAGAATTTGGAAAGGTTTTTTTTTTTTCAATACATGAAAGCTAGATTTTTGGACAGTAATCGATTGAATTGAAGGAGGGAGAATGAATAACTTGAAAGAGTGATAGATGGTAGATTTTTTTTTTTTTTTTTTTAATATAACAATTGAGATAAATTCTATGCCAAATTGTAACAAATTATATCCCTTTAATTGACAATTTTCATGAAAAATAAAGCCAAACAAACATCAAAATCTCCAAAATTTCAATTTTTTTGTGGAAAATTATATCAATCAAACATATCTAATTGACAATTTTCAATAAAATAAGTTTTAAGCAATTCAATTCCCTAAAATTTGTTTCTTTCCACTTAAATTACATTCTTGCAATCAAATAGACCCTTAAATGATGCAATGTGAAGAATCCAAACTATTATTTTTCAAGTTACACAATTTTTTCTGAATTTTTTTTTCTTGATTTGACGAAGAAGACCAACAAAAAGAGTAATAGTTAAATAGTTATACATGTGACAGTTTTTGTGAACAGTTATTTTAGTCGAATGCAGCATTTTCTTCTCTTTTGACAGTTAAAAGAGTTGGTAGACTTTCTTCCATTTCATAAGAAAATATTATAGCCCCCATTAGGTCCCCATTCTCCTTATCATTTTTTTTTACTCTCTTATTTTTAACCACACAATTTTCTATAAAAATAATATTATACGTAAACTAAAAACTTTTCATTCTTTTTCAACTACACATTCTTCAAAAATACACTATTTCAACCATTAAAATTTGGCAAAAATGGGGCCAAACAGGGCTTAAATCATATTTTTGGAAGAGACTTCCCATTCTTCAACAATTTCTTAATAATATTTCTAAACGTAAAGCATTCAATGATTCCTTTAAGTTATCAACTTTTAACATGGTGAAGTTGTACGGAATGCAGCCCATGTTCAGGATTAAAATTCAAATTTTAATTTAAATCAAATTCGATCTTTAATTTTAACCGTATATTTTATAGGATACACAACTTTTCAACCATATATTTTAAATTGTTATTAAAACTGAAATGATGGAATGTACATATAGATCTAATTTACATAATATGAAATACTAAACAAAATGATAAATCAAGAAGAAAAAAAATTTAAAAATCACCAACTAAATTAGATTAAGACCCACTGGTATTTGATAATGAAGCAAATCATTTACTTCAAAGTTGAACTAACTTTGATGGCAAAATGAACTTTGATGGGATGGTAATCAACTTTGAGTTTTGTTAACTCTATTATCTTTATGTTTGTACTAAGTCATAATTATTAATTAACTTCATGGAGATAAAAAGCAACTAACTCTTAACAAACCCCAAATCTCACCTTAAAAATGAATTAATTAATTATATACTTTAAAAAGTTGCTTTCCAAATAAAATGAAAATGGCTTAAGCTAAAATCAAACATCTAAAACAAGAATAATTCAAGGCCCAACTCCAACAATCAAAAGTGTGAACTACTTTAATCATAAACATTGGAACTTAATATTACTCATTCTTGTGGGGACATTCATTATGTGAGATTTAGTGGAGGGTAAACCAAACATGGTGACACATCATCACACGTCTTGATCGATAAGACTATATCGTAATAAATAAGACGATCGTAATCTTGATTATATTATAATTACTTCGCACTCAAACGAGAGTAAATCCTTTAGAAGATATAAAACAAACTAATTGGACAAGGTTTTGATAGCAACATCTGAGCGAACTTAACCATCAAACTCAAGTTCACACACATAATTATTTATTGCATGTTTAGTTCTGATTTTTTGCCACAAAAAATCAATTTTTTGACCATTATTTTCCTAAGTCAGCCATCATTTTTGGCTTATTCTTTCATAGGTGAGATCATTTTTCTCTTTAACGGTTAAAAAATAATTCTCATAATTACTACCGAACAAACCCTTAAATGTAATACTTTTCTCGTACGAGACTTAAGAGAGTTTTTGTGCATTCAGACTCAAATTAGTCAACCAATAGCGACATACACTTGTTGAACGTTAAAATAGACTCCTTTTAGCAACATGCAATTGGTTAATGTTGTCTTTTGCATGTTGCAAAAGGCCTTTTATCTTGTAATGAGATACATATTCCACTTTATAATGTAGAAAACAATCTCTAGAAAAATTCGCGAACCCTGATTTTCATCAAAATCTCAAACTGATCATTCAATTTCTATTTATTGCAATCAAGCTATTCATCCTCAATTTTGATGTAGAGACTACAGTAGATCACTTTGTCCAGTTTTATTACTAAAAAAAATGTCGTAAGTCTGACAACACTTCCAAAAAATGGTCATGTATAATCTATCAAAAATCAA